TAAGTTATTATCCTTCAGATACCTAAAACCTTGCTATACGTGTTGAAGTCTATTTTTCAGTCGGTAGACTTCGTAATTGACTCGTATAACAATATATAATAATCACGTAACATATAAAATTTATAATATTCAAATGAATTTATTTTTATTTATTTAAACTTCAAAATGCTGAATAAATTTGACCTGTTTCTAAATAAGTTAGTGATTCTAAATCAGAAATAAATAAAAAAGCTAATAAACATTTTGCTGTTAGATTATTAGCAGGATGAATTGTTTTCCTCCAAAAATTAAAATTGTCATTATTTTATCAGTTAAAAGAATTTTATCATCAGAATGGTCAAATCTATTTTTATGATTAATAGCTTTAATCTATTCTTTAACAAATGCATTCCACTCTTGTTCTTGTTTCTCAGTATGGGGTTCAATAGGTTTATCTAAAGTCAAATTATTATTTCTATTACTATTTACTGTATCTTGAATATCATCATCACTAACTTGCAAATCACCTTCAGTTAAATTTAATTCAGAATTTTTTAAGTTATCATCTTCAACAATTAGTATAGCTATATGCAAACACTGGATTTTAGTATCTAATTCTTTGGCCTTTTTTTCTGACGATGATAAAGTATATCACTTCAAATTTGATTCATTGCTAATACTTTATCACTTTATAAATATTAGATTATTAATTAATTGAACGTTTTAATTATATAATACTAAAAAAATAAAGATATATTGTACCTTTAATCAATTCCATTTATTTGTATGTATAAAACCCATACTACTCCAAATCCTTTCAACTGATGCTGAATTAACATAAATACCATAAATGTGTATTGTAACTCTTGCTAATTCTAGCCCAATACCTGCTGTAGAATCCCAATAATTTACCAAATTCTCACTCTTTTCAGCATACTTCAAGTCTTTCAACTATTTAAAAACTAAAATCTGAATTTTGATATTCTTTAAAGATCTTGATAATATATGCAAAATAATGTAACATCTCAAACAATTGTGTAGTATCTTTTTGCAATTTATTTAAAAATCTATATAATAGGTAAAGTAGATGCTATAAAGAAAAAAGTGTTGTCTAAAATTCTGAATTGTTTATAGTATTAGCAATATTATCAAAAAGTTTTCAATTATCATTTTTAGTTGAAGATTTATTTGCAAACATTAAAGGTTTTCCATTTTTGATGTATTACATTAGCTTGATGTGAATTAAATTTTGCAGAAATAAACTATAAAAAAATAAAGCATTAGTTAATAGTAATATATAATATTATTGGACTAATATTAAACTATTTACCTTTAATGTCGCTTGAGTTTTTAAAATTGAGTAAAAACAAAAATAATAACTATTTCACCTAGTATTGTATGAAGAAATTAAACATATATTTTTATTATAAATTCTCATCTGTTCATTACGAAGATTTCCTGTAAAAAATACCAATTTATTAAAATAACTAACTAATCGACCTGCTTCTGTTAATATAATTCTTGTTCTTTAAAAATTTCTCCAAAATAAGATTTATTTAATGTATCATACATGGCAGAAAAATTTTGCTTAGATACTGCCTTCTCATTTGTCATCTATAAAAAATAATATTATAGTAATAATATGAGCACATATATAATATATTAAGTAACATCTTTATCAATAATTTCCAAATAAAAACTTTATTTTACTGCAACATATTCTTCTGCTAAATCTAAAACAAATGCCTTTATATTGACATTCTTTTCCTTTGCATCTTCAACTATTGCTTCTATATGTTGAATGACATTAGCTGTACAAGATTGTTTAGCATTTATTTCATGTGCTCTTCAAACTAAAGTCTGACCTTTCGATGTGATAAATATTATTTCCCATAATTGTTTCATTTTTACATTCGTCTATCATCAAAAGATACTGTAACTTCATCTTTATTATTTGCTGCTAGTTTTATAATATTTTGTTAAAGAGATTTGGCTGTATTATTCAATATTCTACCACTAATTGCTTTATGATTAGGAAGAATAAGTCCAGATGCAATAAATTTAAATAGTGCTTTAGTTTCTTCATTTTTTATGAAGAAAAAAGGAAGACCATTAGATACTATTATTCTAATAAATAGCTGTTCAAATTGGGATACATCATTTATTAATATTTGGCGTCAATAAATAAAGTTAAAGATTTTTGAGAATTAGTACTATTGGTCAAATTAAAATTTGATATTGTTAATGTAGAAAGTTTCCTTCATTTTGCCAATTGGCAAATTAATTCATTATCATCATCTTCAATTAATTTTTAAAAAGCATTTTAATATATGAAAATTTTTAAGAAATTATTTTGTACATAAAATTATATAATAAACTTTTTATAGTGTCTTTAACTTTATTATCTTCAGGTACTGGTAAACTAAGAACGTTCTTTACCTCTTCTTCAGTATAGAATTTTTTAAATTTTTCATATTTTGCCAAATGAATATGACATAACTTTATCTTATTTGTTGTGCAACATTTTGGCTTTAGCTTAGCTTTTTTTAGACCTCTATTGCAATTACTAATATAACTAAGACATACTGCAATAGCATTTTCCTTATTTTTTGTGTTTTTAATAAGTAAAAAGTATAGGCGAAAATTATGTGATTCTGAAGGTATGATTTTATCTTTTTTTATCAATTTAAAAAAAAGTTTATCATAGATCTAAATTTTGGTATTACATTGCTTTTATTCTTTTTGTTAAGTAGCAAATCTACAGTTAAATTTATACAATAAATATACATGCAAATGTAGCATACAAATGCAATATAACTAGGATTGAAAAAGTCTATCTTCATTCAATCCTAGTCCTAAGACTTGTAAGTTTTATTATCAGGACTCATAATCCAGTCTTTAATAATTAGTCTTATAATTGATTCAAAAATAGGTTTAGGATTGAATTTAAAATAAAAATTTATAACAAATTTTATAATGTAATACATAAAAATTTGTTCTAATTTTATTGGTTTTGGCTGATCTACATAAAATTAATTACTTTTTGCTCTTTTTGCTCCTTTTAAAATTGACCTAAATTGCTAAAAATCAAATTATTACATCTAAATTTATATCTAATCTGCTAAAATTTAAATATCGATATGCATTTTTTATTTACTCTTATATTTTTAAAATAATTTCCTATTTAGTTAGTTTTATTTACATGTCAAATGCACATATAAATAAATGCATAAATTATTAACCAAATAAAGTTTATTTACATGTAAATCCATGTTAATCAGATGTTATACAGTAAATGTTGATCAAATTAATCAGTTTTAATAAATTTATTTTCATAAAAAAAAAGGAAAAAATTTTTTTTTTAAAAAAATGGCGGAATTTGAAATGGAGTTTCAATTTTTTAAACTCCAACTGATTATAATTTTTTTCAAACTCCATCATTTTAAACTCTGTTCATTATATTTTTTTAAACTCTATTTCAATTTTTAAATTCCATCCATTTCAATTTTTTTATTCAAATTCTACCATTTCAAACTCCATCCAGTTATATTTTTTCAAACTCCATTATTTTAAACTCTGCTCTTCATTTCACTTTTCAAACTCTACTATTTTAAACTCCGCTTTCAAACTCTAACATTTCAAACTCCGCTTCTTTAGATTTTAAGATTAATTTTTATTCCAGAAGTGAATTTCTAAACAAATAAGTAATTTATGAAAGGATTTTTGAATTTTTGTTATTGTTATTTTAAAAATATTATAATCAAGTTTCTTTTTTTTTTTTAAAAAAAGTTATCTTTTTTGATTTCTAAACTATGAAGAATATTTTTAAAAAGGATTATATTATTATTTTTTTTTATTTTAATTGAAATTCTAACTTTAAAAAAAAATTAAAATCAAATTCATTATATTTTACTTAGCTGCAATAATGTATTTTTGTAATGCATTCGGTAAAAACAAACAAAAAATCTGTATTATTATTATAATTTATTTTTTGTAATGTAAAATGATCTACAAAGTGATCTGCAAAATCGATCTACAAAAGTGATTTGCAGAATTAATCAACAGAATGATTTGCAAGATTGATATACAAATTGATCTACATGTATTACGTGACATTGTTGATATAGTTGACATTAATAATATTATCAACATTGTTGACATCCAAGGATTGGCATCCTGTCTTAGTTGGTAACAACTCAGACCCTATTGTAGGTTACACTGCAATAGATCCTAGTTCAGTCCCTAGCCAAGACAGATCATAATAAATTAATTTACGGGATTTACCAGTTCGATTCTGTGAATAAATTTCATAGGATGCGTACAAATTATGTACGTTGAAGATTACAAATTTGTAGAATAAGATGACCTATTGATAGTTATTTACATGTTGGATGGTAACTCCCACAGCATAAGCTGTGTAAGGTCGCTTCGTCTACACACTACCATGACAACAGGTAATGGTGGTAAGTAACTTGATGCATATGTGAACCAATTGAGTTTGGAACCTATGTTAAGGGGCTGGTCTGTAATGGACAAGTGCTGAATCGTCTGCAAATGGTGCCTATAAGGGTAGGATCAATGGTAGGTGCTGGATGACTAGGATTGAACAAAAGTCTTGGTTATTAGTGGTTGATATTGCACTGTCTTCAACCATTGTAGTGCTTATATCACAACTAGGATTTGGAGGCTGGAGTTTGATTCTCTGGATGATTTTGACGTATGGCTTGGCAACTTTGGTGTAGGCTATTATCTTAGGTTGTCATGACTCTCTTTTCAGTAGTTGTGATGAATGTGAATGAAGAGGGGTACTATGTATTTGAACAACATAGGCAGTTTGGGGTTTTAGCAATCTACTCCTTGCAGCGAAACTATGCCATGTCTTAGACATCCATTCACCTTGGTTTCACAAATTTACACTGGGTTTAAAAGTACCAAAGGGGGTTATGATGGACTCGACGTATGCTAAAAATAAGACACATTACTTCTATCGAATGGTACGTATAGGATGCTGAAGTTCTAACTGCGTGATCCAAGTAAAATCAAAAAAAAAACCATTGTTGACATCCATAAGGGTAGGATCAATGGTAATTGTTGAATGACTAGGATTGAACAAAAGTCTTGGTTATCGGTGGTTGATATTGCACTGTCTTCAACCATCATAGTGCCTATATCACAACTAGGATTTGGAGGCTGGAGTTTGATTCTCTGGATAATTTTGACGTATGGCTTGGCAACTTTGGTGTAGGCTATTATCTTAGGTTGTCATGACTCTCTTTCCAGTAGTTGTGATGAATGTGAATGAAGACGGGGTACTATGTATCTGAACAATATAGGCAGTTCGGGGTCTTGACAGTCTACTCTTTGCGGTAAAACCATGCTGTATCTTAGACATCCATTCATCTTAGTTTCGCAGATTCACACCAGATTTAAAAGTACCAAAGGGGGTTATGGTGGACTCGACGTATGCCAAAAATAAGATACATCACTTCTATTGAATGGTGTGCATAAGGTACTAAAGTTCCAACTACACAATCCAAGTAAAAATCAAAAAAAAAACATTGTTGACATAATTAGTATAATAGATATTAACTTATTTATCTTATATATTTATTTATTGTTATATGTAATTAAAAGATATAAATACAGTAGATTTTAGAACTTGTAAAAAAGCAGAATTCAACTCAGCTGTGTGCAATAATTCTCTTAGAAATATTTGAATAGCTGTGTGCTCTTTTATCTTTGTGAAAATCTTTTTTCTTTTCTTTATCTTATTTTCTTTATATTGTTAAATAAAATAACTTTCGACCTAATGATTACATTTCGATGGAAATACGATCATTAGAACCGTCTCATCAAGAGCTTTCCAACG